GGGGGGGGGGCGGACACTATTTTTCAGGGAATTCTGACAACTTAAGCAGTTTTAAAGCTATGGGAAGATGGCCTGAGATAGATTCCCCCTGACTTTGGCAACATGTTTTCACCAGAAGTGGGTGGCTTCTTGAATTGTACAGTCATATGCCTCTGAGCAGTTTGGGTTTTTGTCTTTTTTTTTGGTGTGTGGGTTGTTTTTTTTCCCTTGGGGTCAATGGCAACATATACCTGCCTTTCTCCTGTAACCCAGACTGGCTTTTCCACCTAGGAGACAGATGGAAGTGGTTTTACTGCCCTTGAAGCTTTTGAGGGACGTACACAGATCGAAATGGTGTGGGTTGATCACTCTTGATCAAGACCAAGAGGCAACTGTCTGACTTGGTGGTGAATACTGTGCAGACGCTCTCCAGTCTGGCCATGCCCCATCAATGTGCTGTTGTCTCCGTGGCAGGTACAGCCCTTGTGAAGTAAGATTCCTTTTTTCCCATACCCAGTCTTGATTACAGAACAGACTTACTAAGAGGAAAATGCTCTTGGCATCTCTTTATTCAAGCCTCACCCTTGGATCTAGTTTGTGTCCTTCACTTACAAGACCAAGAGCTCGTGCAGGTTGAGCAAACCAATGGCCGTGTGTTCCCCCCCCCTCCCAAGGGCACAACCAGCTACAGAACAGATCCCTGCTTTTCCACCAGAGTGCTGGTGTTCAGGGTGTAAAGGTCTGCTGCCGCCAGACCACAGCAGCTTTGGTTGAGTACCCAGCAGAGAAGCCCAGTGTGATGCTCAAACATCGGAGGAGTTGCCCCTCTCAGTCTCCGCAAGTGTTTGTAGATGGAAATTACCAGCTATTAAAACTCGCCACTTGCCTTGCAGGGGTTTTCCCTACCTCTGAGCACGAGTTACGGATGGTTTAAGTGGTCAGCTTCGCTCTGTCAGACGCAGGAGCCTCGGGCTGCGTGGTGTCGTTGGCCACCACCTTGGCTTCTCCATACGTGTCTATGCATTTCCTCACAGCCTCCAGGATCAGCTGTAACCGTCTGTCTAAAGCCAAGAGGTGGGGTTCGGTGAGGACCGGGGCCAGGCGGTCCTGCAGGAGGGATTCCCTCATCACGTCGCTGAGCCGATACTCGGGCTCGGCCAAGAGCTGGAGTCGTAATAACGTTGTCCTCTTTATTCTGGGGGAAGCAAAAAAAAAATAAAAATCAGACATCTTAATGCAGACTTCTTGTGACAGCCGAGCAAGAACCAGCTGTCTGTGCCCCTTGGTAGTAGGGAAAGGAGGGAGGGCAGGAGATAGGTGAAGATATTTCACAAAAAAACTTGGGAACAAAAACTTTCCCTTTCTGAAGGAAATGAAAGTTTTTACAGAAACCTCTGCTGCTTCCTTTGTTTTTCCAGACTGCAGAGTATTTGTACTGCAGATTTCTGTCATCAGAGAGAAAAACATGATAGAAGTTCTCAGTAATGAGTGTTTTTCCTCTGAGTCAGAGATGACCCAGTTCCCCAGATTGCTGCAGGGTGGTGCCCTGTTCCCAGGGATGACATTTATGGGGTGCAGGCAGAGGGGGAGGTAAAATGGAGAGGCAGGAATGAGGGAAAAATAATCCTGTATCAAAACCGAGCAAAATGACGGAATAGTTCCTGGAACTGATTCAACTGTGACTTTTCACCTTAAGAGGTACTGAAATTAAATATTCTATCCCTTTGCCAGAAAGTGGGATGCAAAGACATAATCTGAGGACACTTTTGGGAATGAAACTAAGGATTCTGAAATAATTTATTTAATTCTCAGCAAAAGTGTGTTGACTTCAGTATCTCTAATACCGAAATTAATCAGCGGTTTTTCTTATTGCCCTTTAAATTTTGGAAACAAAGTAGTCTATGTCCGTGGAGCCATTTCTATTTAAAAAGCTGAGCCAGAATTTTCAGGTGGAAAAAGGTGTAGTCGGGAACATTTTAACCAGCTCCAGGATTTGCCTTTGTAGGCTTGTTGTTTACCCAGGGCATCGACTGGGAACAGCGATCTGGCTCTCTGCAGCTCTAACAGGCCACGTGTTGTTCAGATGTCAAGAGAGGCTGCTTGGAGCTGCTGTTCCGGGCCGAGCAGCTGCTAAACTGCACCAAGTGCTCATCTTTGGTCAGTGATGCCCGTGGTGTTGCACGAAGGAGGGAGAAAGGTGCTGTGACTGGCAGCCTCCTCCGCGGTGCTGGCGATTTAAACTGCGGCTGTTGTCCTGGCTTGCACAAATAACAACAACAACAAAAAAAAAAAGCCCAGCAAAAAAATCAATTGATCAAGTGCTAAACCCAGCAACAAGGCTGGGAGGTTCTGCTGCTGCTGCTGGAGAAAGCTGCCCGAGGAGCAGATGCGAACCGCAGCAATCGAGCGTGCGTGCGCTCTCCGTCTAGGCAAGGGGTGGCCGAGGAGCTGCTGTGAGTAAACACCAGCTGTGTTTGCTCTGGTCCCAACAGCGACGGGGCTCGGAGGTGGAGAACGGGCTAGTCTGACCCCGCGGGGAATGGCTGAGTTATTGCTGTAACGGTTACATAAGGCGGAACACGGAGCCGGAGATGGAAATCCTGCCAGCCGGCAGTTGGAGCCCTGCTGAGGTTCTGAATTGTTGAAGATCTGACCCAGAGCCTTCTAGGGGCTTCATCAGCCAAGCAGATAGATGTGCCAGGTTAACCGGGGGCCGTTTGCAGGCCTGTCTGTGCCTTGTTGCGGGGTTTGACCCTTTCAGGAAAAGAACCATCTCTTCCTGCGTGGCTGTAATTGTGCCATTCACTGTACTCTGAGCAACGCTGGGAGAGGAGAGCAGCAGACTTCAACGTGTGGGACAAGGACTGGTGTGGGAGCTGTGAAAGGAAGCTAAAAATACCAGACTTAAATCTGCTGGAAGCCAAACTTCAGAGAAGAGCTCGGCTGGGAAGGAGATGACCATGTTTAACCGGGGGGCGAGCAGCCTGTTCAGCGTCCCTGCGGTTTGCGTGGTCCCTCTCGGCTGGAGTGGCTGGAGGACTTTGTTCCCGCTCAGGTGAAATCTGTGGCCTCTGCACTTACTCAAATAAACTTTTTTTACTTCCTTTCCAAGCGTTTGTGGATGCTCCCCTACTCCAAATGGATTGGCTGTTGTGGGAAATGAGGTTTTGTGTGTCTCCCTCGGGCAGCGTGAGTTGCTTTTACGCTGCTCTTGGCTCTAGTTGGCTTATTACAAGGTGCGACTTGCAGGTCTTCTTACCACTGCTCTTTAACAAGAGGAACTAAATTAAGAAGAGCTTCTGGGAGGTGGAAGAATAGGAAGGATATATGACCTGTGGATATTACTGTATACAGGTCAAATTAAGAGGTAGACTTAATTTAAACGGCACAAAATAGGAGTTCAAGAGAAGGATTCGCTGCGAGCCTGCAATTATAAATGAAAGGACTCACTGGGTGCAAATAACAGTTCTTAAAATTAGATCCAGTAATACAAATGTCTGGGGAGAGTGCAGTTAACACCCTGAGGCTGAGATGGAGCGGGTACAGCGAGGAAATAGGTTAGGCATCCCTTAAAGAGAAACCACAGGGGAGCGCGGCTTTTTCTGTCTCTTAAATTTGACTTTCAGCGGATGATTTATGTCAATTAATTAAGGGGGAAGATAGGATTCAGATAGTAGAATTTATGAGCTTCTCCTTAATGCCATGGGAAGAAGAAACCTGATGAACTGTATCAGAGTTCTACCAGGCTTTTGGATGGATTCTGAGCTCCATGTCAGATGAACAGGGCTGAGAGCACCTCGTGTTGATGGGCTGGGAGATGCCAGTAGGCACTTCTGGAAGGGTTTGATCCAACGGACAGTGTCTCCTGGTCTGGCGGTGAGAGCTTTTACACTTGCCTTTTAGCTTCAGCAGGGAAGTATCCAGGAAGGGTAGTTGAATGACAGCGTAGCAGGCTGCAGCACATCAGAGCTTAATACTCTGATATAAAAGCTTAATCCCTGCTTCAGGGACAATTTGCCCGGCCTGCCCCCTTGGCTGGGATTAGCAAAGGCTCTTCCCTGCACTCTGGATGGAGCCAGGCCTGGGTGACTTACCGCAGCAAGTGCTGCTGGTCTGTTATGGTGGAAACACCGACGTGTCTGGGAAGGGGGATGAACCTGGCACTTACGTGCAACACTGGGAGAGCGGGGCCAGGATGGAGGTTTCGTCGTGAGAATGTCGCCCGAACCTGGTGGGTGAAGCAGAGAGCACAGAGCTTTAGTGCCTGCCCACCACCTTCCCCCCCTCCCCAGAGTCCTCCCACAGCCTCACCCTCTGGCGTTGTCCAGATGCAAGAGGAAGCCATCGTCCCCGAACTTGGTGAACATTTCATAGTGGTGACGGTCCATGTTCCCTGGTAAAGGGCAGACAGAGGAACAGAGTTTCCCTTGCGTGTGACAGAGTGATTTTCTAAATTATCCTATGTTTTCTTCCAGATCTGTATGAAATACTTGTTGCCTTGCTGGAAGCATCTAAGATGCTCAGAGCTGCTGCTTTCAACTTGCTGAACCCCCTGGGGAGTGGGTTGGGGTGGGCCTGGGGGTCCCCCCTTGCTGGCAGCACATCAGGAGGGGTCGTGCTGGCTGGCTGTGGGGAGACAGGAGTCTTCAAAAACTGTCTCTGGAGCAGAAGGGATGGCTTCGAGAAACCCCGTGGCATGGCAAGGCAGACAGACTGATGCCAAAAACCCCCGCGGAAGGAAGGAACGTTATTTCCCCCTTCACCATACCTATGAGGAAGTCAAATATGGCCATGTCGATAATGTTAAGCAGCCGGTTGCCGTTGCTGTAGGGGTAGATCTCCCTCACCGTGTTGCAGTAGAGCGGATTCACTTCCCACCTGCAGGAGACGGAGGAGAAGGGGAGACACACTCAGTGGTTGCTGTTGCCGTGTCCCAACAGCGCCCCAAAGCCAGTCTCCCGTGTGGAGATGGAAATGAGGAGGACTTAGATCTCCCTCCTTGTGAGTGCAGGAGACTGGAAGTCAACCCCAGTCAATGTCCAGGCATTAAGAGTTATTAGATTAATTATGGGCATTCTCTAAACCTTGGCCTTCCTCTGCCTGGACATACAATTTCTGTACGTACGTCTGTGTGTCTGTACGCCGCTCATTCTCCTTCCCGTGTGCTCCCTGCAGCGCAGATATGGGAAGCAGCATCATTTACCCACTTACTCCTCTTTTCCATCGAACGAGTAGGACCGGATCCATGGGTTTGGGATGGAGAGTCGTGGTGCCAGGTTGAGGGACGGCAGGAAGGCGGAGAGGGACCCTTCCAGGAGGTGAGGGTTCCCACACACCGCGTACTCAGTCTTGCACATGTACGGGCACTTGGCAAAGAAGCACACGTTGCTGGCTGGGAGGAGAAGAGAGAGGAGAATGGGGAAAGGAGCTGTGATCTGCAGGAGACCGCAAGGTCGCCTGGGCTGACTTCTTCCCCATCGTGTGACAGTGACTGTGTATATTGTGGTGTACGTAACCACATCGTGGATGTGAAACTGCCAAATCGTGGACAATACCTGGAGTTTGGTCGATGGACAGACCTAGTTCTGTGCTAGTGGAAGAGTTGAGGGAAAACTGGGTGTGGGACTGGATCTGGCAGATGATTCCAGCTGGAGGCTGAGGGACATCCCTGCTGTAACCGTGTCTTTGTGCGTGTTTCAGTGAAGCATTTAATCTCTGCTCAACAGCACAAATCCTGCCTGCAGATCCTGCTCTTCCACCCAAATGGACCAACACGTCTAATCCCAGCTGGTGGCAGCCAAGTGCCTACCTGGCGAGACAAAAAAGACGCTCTGCAAGATCTCGTTCTTGGTGACCTCCAGGATCTCCTTGGTGACGTTGATCAACCTCCCGACTGTGGGCGGCACCCTCCGGAAATCCAGGATCCTGCACAAAAGGGAAGCGCCTCAGAGCCTGTGGTGCAAAGGGATGTCACCGCACAGGATGGCAGTGTGGGACGGCAGATGCTGCCCTGTCCTGTCCCTTGGTAAACCTTTGGAGGGCTGTACCTGCGTGGATTCTTTTTTTTTTTTTCCTGCCAGCTTCTTTCTAGCAAATAGCCAGGATTGTTTTACCCTCTGGACCAAAATGTGGCTGAGTTTGGATTTTGGTATTTTAATAGCTGCTGTCTGGAACAATCTGGATGTTCTCCAGGATTAATGTTTTTTTTTCCCTAACTGCTTTCTCCCATCCCCTCACACGCAAGCTGCGTCCTTTGGGAGCCAGAAGAGCCTTTTGGGCCCTTCTACAATGTTGAGTTTGATATGGAGCAAAGATGTGTTGAACCTGGTACAAGGCGACTGAGACAGTGGGAGGTGAGGAGGCATCACCCCACTCAGAGACACTCATGCCTGGCTGATTCATCTCAAATATTCTTGAAAAAATCAGGGCCTGGGGCAGAAAGGCATTCATGGCAGTGAGTGGAAAGCCGCTGTTGATTGCTGAGTCAGTAACACGGCGTGAACCAGCTAATGCTGTGCTTTGCTCCCTGGGTAATGCCCTCTGCTTCTGAGAATCAGGCACAAAACAGGATTTAGCCTGTTACTTATTGAGCAACGTTTAAAGAAAAAAAAAATTATATGCTTTCATCTAGCATCTTTCAGCTCTAAAAACCACAAAGCACTTCAGAAAAGCAGTCGGGTCTCATTTTTCTGGCAGTGGAGCTGGGCTGCAGAGACAAGCTGAGGGTAGCTGAGTCAACCAGAGTCACTGCGGTGATGTAGGGGCAGAGCTGGGAAGGGAATTCAGCTCTCCATTCCCTCGCTTGGTGCTTGAGCTGCAGGACTTAGTCTAGTCCTGCTTATTGTATAAGTTGGGTGTGGGAACTGGAGACCCCCATCCATGACCATCATCAGGGATCACTTTCCCTTGATGTTCAGTACTCATCCCATCGAGGGGAAGAAGGCTGCTGCTCTGCTCTTCTAATAAGGGTATTTTTGATTTTATTAAATACAAAGCCAGCTGGCAAGAGGCGCCAGGTTAATTGCTCATCAGCTGAGGGCTTGAAACTGCATGGCTGCAGTTTATCTCAATCCAAAACACGCCTTGATTGCTGATTGAGCGTGTGACTCCCTCACCGGGAGGGGATCCAGGCTGCGCCCAGAGCTCATCTTCGCACTTTGATGCACGGGAGGGATGACATGCGTGTGGATACCTGACCCCTTCACCACCTGGACTTCACCCACCAGCCTCTTCTCGTGCAGTGGCCATGGCGAAGCTGATCCCTGGGCTTCAGAGGAGAGCCAGAGCCACCCCCATGCCCAAAAGACGCATCAGCTCCCGAAGGGGTGCTGCAAAGCCCTCGCTTATCTAAGGCTAAGCAGCTCTGCAGGGCTCAGCACGGCTTTTCTCATGCCAGAGCTGTCCGTGGGCAGAGGCCGGGGTGCTGGCACCGTGGCAGGGCCCTACCTGTCCAGGTGGAAGGCGGCGATCTCCGCGTTGTGCCGCTGGAAGTCAACGAAGTAGAAAAAGTCCTCGGGAGTCTCTTCCTCACGTTTCTGCCTGGGAAAGAGCAAAGGGGTTAACCTAACGGAGCAGGGCGGTGCGGGCAGCAGCACTGCAGGCAGCTGGCAGGAGCCCGGATGGACGCAGAGCGGAGGCGCGAGGACAGCGCACTCGGGGTGTGTGGCCACCACGCTGGTCCCAGGGCCACCGGGCAGAGCTGCAGTGCCCGGGCCAGGACCCAAAGCGCCTGGTGCTGAGCTGAGGTCATCACCCACCATGCTGGGGAGCAGCACTTGTGCCCTGTCTCGTTGGCAGGTGGGTGAGGGAGGCTGGAGGGCTGACTCTGGACTTTAAAACCTTCTGTGCCAGAGTTTAGACCCACGTACTTAGGACAGCGTTTTGAGTGGGTATAACATGGGGGGACTCCAGAGGCCACGCTCCACTTCTTGTTTCCCCGTGGGAGGCAGAGAAGAGCTTAGGTTTGATCCTCTCACCCCTCAGATGGGAACAGAAGTTCATTTAATTTCATTTTCTGGCTGTCACACAGTGCCCCAATATGTGCAGCCTGTGAATTTGCATGCCCAGCCACACAGTGGAGCCCTCCTGGTTCAGCTGAGTGCACAGACACTTTCCTTCCCCTCCTGGACCTGCCGGACACGGGGCAGAGGTGGCTGGAAACCAAGGGGAGAGGAGCTGGCTGTCTTCTGGCTGAGCAAACCATCCCAGCCGGCGTGCTGCCAGCTGCCCTGCCTCGGCACGGAAAGTAAAGTGACTGGGAAGAGATGTGAAGAGTCCCGAGGGGCTACAAGTAAGTGCAAAGAAGCAATTTAAAACTCTTGTTTGAGGTGACTGGGACTGATGGCTGTTTCTTGGAAATACTCTGGGGAATCCAAGGAGAAACAAGGTAAAACACAAAGTCAGCTGGGGAAGAGGAAGAAATGGGCAAAGCTCTTGAGAGAACAAGTGTCCCAAGGTCCTTCGCCGTCTGGCATCTACGAACCGAGAAATTTCCAACATCAATTAAGCAGTGTGGGAACATCGGTGTATGTCTGCGCATCCCTGGGATGGTGCGAGCAGTCAGTAACAATTAAACATTTTTGGTTGTCAAGGTAGGTGAATGCGGGCGAGGAAGGATGCTCAGGTGCTTCAGTAAGTGGCTCTGGGGGACGCGGGGGAAGCTCTGCCAGCGTGACTTACCTCATCGGCTTGAACATGGCTTTCCCAAAATCCTGGAACCTGAGGACCAGCTTCAGGTGCACACCGCTGGGCTTCACGACTTGGGGAGGAAACGGGACGTTAGCTGCCTGGAAAGCCTCCCCGGTGCGCGGGGAAGCACCGGGTGTGCACTCAGACACAATTCATCATCCCACCCCGGTGAGCCCATCCCATCGCTCCTTCCAGCTGCTTTCCTTGTCCCCCCTGCTTCTGCAGTTTACCCTCCCTCTCCCCTGTGCCACAGAGATTTCCCTCCACCACTTGTCCCACAAGCCATTTGTTACGTCCTCCTGGGGATGTTTTCCTTTGTCCCCCAGCAGAAACCAGTGGTGTACTGGTGTCGTGGCACCCACATTCCAGCTTCTGCTGGGGCGATGGGTTTTAATTGAAGGGAGAAGGGCCTGGCATTGCCTGGCTTTACATTTCCCTTGTTGAGGTTAGGATGGAGGAGTTGGGGAGTGAGGTCAGCTGAAGCTAGACTGGCTCTGAGGAAGGATTTCTGTGCAGAAGGGGCTGTTGGGCGTTGGAATGGGCTGCCCAGGGCAGGGGGGGAGTCCCCGGGATCCCTGGAGGGGTTGAAGAGTCGGGCTGACCCAGCACTGAGGGATTTGGTGGAGTTGGAATGGTCGGTGTGAGGTTCATGGTTGGACTGGAGGAGCTTCAAGGTCTTTCCCAACCTTGATGATGATTCTGTGATTCTGTGGAGCAAGGGCGTGCGGGGGGAGAGCAGGGACCCGCAGTGTCACACTCACTCTGGCTGCAGTCGCAGGCTCCCAGCAGCGCTTTCTCATCCTGGCTGTAGTCTGCAAGGGCAGGAGGAGTGGTGAGACCCCGCTGGGCTCAGTCTCTTGCTACTGACCCCCCCTTCCAGCACTGGGCATGCAGGGGGGTGCTCCCTGCCTGCCCCAGCCTGGCAGCCCCAGTGCCACTGGGGCATAGTCCCCTTCGGAGGCAGCCTGGGGAGACTGAACGACTGTGCAACGGGCCCCCAGCATGACAAGCACCAAAAAATGCTGCATTACGGGCCACAGCTTGGTTCTCCCATCTCAAGGTAAGGGCCTGGCGACTGCAGAGCCCAAAACCTGCCGGGAAGCTGGCTCAGGGCTTCCTCCAGTGAGCAACATCCCCTGCCTTGTTTGAAAAGTGACTTTGGGGAGGGGCTGGAGTCCCCCAGCCCCATGCAGCTCCCAACAGCCCCATCCCCATGGCAGGAGGGGGCTTACCAGCACTGATAGTGGTGAAGTCTTGCATGTCCCGGAGGAGCCTGTTGACGGCGGGGCTGGAGCGTGGGTAGAGCCCATCCCGGCTGATGCCCAGGTGGAACTGGAGCCAACTGGCCTCCGGCCGGAGCGGCAGCGGTGCTGCGGGGGAGGTTAGGTTGAGCTCCTCCCTGTAAAGCTTGTGTCTCCTGGAAGAAAGTGGTTATGGGGTGATAAGGATGAGCCACCTTTACTGCTCTGAGCCCAGAGGCTGCTGGGGAGTGGGGAGGATGCTGGAGGGCACGGGGTGGATAAGGACTATGGGTGCTACCCCAGGGGAAACTGAGACAGGGAGTGATGACTGAGATGGTCAAATGTCTCACAAATTGTGCTGCTTTCTTGCTTCTGCAAAGCCCTGGGAAAGCAGCCTCAAGTGGGAACACAAGGGACTCTCTTGTCTTCTCCTCGTCCCATCAGGACCAGGAGGGGTGTCAGGGCATGGCTGGAGCTAAACCACATCTCCTTTAATACAAGGGCTGGCCTAAGTGATGGATGAAGTGCTTTCCAGAGGGACTGCAGGCTCCGGACCTGGGGAGGGGATGTGATGTGACAGCAGATGACTTGGGTCTGAACTACTCAGTGAGGTGGCTGGAGAGCCCAGGAGAACAATAGGGTCCTGTCCGAGCGAGCCTCTGCAGAGGTCTGTCCTTATGGTTGTTACATCTCTGACAGAGCTTTTTCCTGAAGCCAGAGGTCCCAGGAAGAGGGAAAAAAAAATCACTGTTAGAGCCACAAATTGCCTCCATGACCAGATTCGCAGCCCTTGGTCTGGCAAGCAGGGATGCAAGGAGTGTCTTGCCCATCATCTCTTAAAATCAAGGTTGACCCCAGCCCTTTCTTGGCAGGTGGAGCTGAAGGAGCCTCTCAAGTTCAATAATAACCCAAAACCGTCCCCCCACTTGATCAGCATCTTCCTCAACCTTGAGACCTCCACGGCTGGGACCTGCGCTTTGCTGAACTGCAATCGAAAGGTCACTTGTTCCACCCGGCGGAGGACAGAGCGTTAGTTTCTCATTAACGCCACCCGAGCCATGTACGGAGTAGTCGGTCCTGATACAGGGAAAAGGAAGTTCAGTTTGCACTGAAAGTGCCAAGATACATCCGTGAAAGAAAACAGGAGCTGGGGGCTGATATTGAGGGGGGCTGGTGGTAATGGAGGGGGGCATTAACCAAGCCTGGGAGGGAGAGGCTGGGGAGAGGGAGGTGCCACGTGCCTTGCAGGCCCTTGGCAAAACACGCTCTGGGAAACAGGGAGATGAAAAGAGACTTTTCCCTGCCTGCCTTTAGTTTTTCCTATTTTTTTTAGTTTTTGCCCAACGCAAACAAAACTGAAAGTGTCGAGGAGGGGGAGGCTGGCTGCCCGCGCTTTTCGAGCTCAGTGGGAGAGGGGAGCGTGCGTGGGCTCTGCGGGGTTTGCGGTGCTGTGTGGCTGCAGCACAGGGGTGCTGACCATGCACCCAGGCATTATCAGCCAAGGTGTTGGCACTGGCAGCTGGAAAGAGCTCTGCCCCGTGGGTGTTGTCGGGGTTTTTTTTGCTTCAAACCAACAGGAAAGCGTTGGGTTGTTTGGTTTGGTTTTTTTTTTTTTTCCCATCATCCTTCTCCATCCAAGCAGGCTCAACAGCGTGGTTAGTCCAGTCGAACCATGAGCCAAGGCGGTGAGGGACACGTTTCAGTAGCGTCCTGGGAGAAATCTAAGCAATGGAGAGACGTGGTGTGCCTGCAGGTCAGAGCAGCCCGGTCCCTCTCCCAGTTTGTTTGCCTTTCAGGTGGATCGGGTCAGCGACGGTGCAAAGTCCACGTGTGCGTGGTCAGAGAGGAGAGCGTCGGTCCGGCTCTTTGCTCGGGCTGCCTGCGCGGGGGGCAGAAGCTCTCCTGAGGTGGGATGAGGCAGCCGTGGGAGCACGCAGAGACTCGTCGGTGGGTTTGGCTGGCACGTCCTCGTGGCACAGGGATGTGTCAGCTCCGGCAGACGTGCCTTGACCTTCCATTGTGCTGCCACGCACCAGGTCTCGTGTGGGCAAGTCTTTGAGGCACAACCTTACCCCCAACCTTAACCCCCCGCCGCAGCCAGGGACGATAAAGACCCCAGTGTAATTTAGAATGACTCAGGATTTTTCCCTAGGGAAGCTACCCAAATATTTTACCATATTTGCTCTCCTGCCTCCCATACACACAGGCTGGTGTCCCCCCCGCGGGGTGGCAGTGAGCAATAGATTACTGATGGGGAAAAAAATGCAGCGGTTATGCAAGGGGAGGCAGTTCCCAGCCGGCGGCTGCTTCCCAGCCCAGCGCCCACACGGTCCCTGCCCCGGCTGCGCTGCTGCAGGGCCAGCGAGCCCCTTTCCAGCCTTTAAACCCAAAATACAGCTCCCTCTGCCTTCCCATTTCCTTCAGGATTCCTGAAATATTTCCCCGTCAGAACAGATCTCTGCAAAAGACATAATGATATAAAAACTGGGCTCACTTCTATCTTGCTATAAATAGCCCCGGGGTTGCCCTAGCCCTGCTCAGCCAGCTCACTGCTGGGCTCTGCGGGGCACGGCATGGGGTGACACCGGGCACAGGCCACTGGTGTCTGCTCGCCCCGTGCCTCCCCCAGCACCGAGCTGGCCACAGAGTTTGGGGTTTTCAAGCTGCTCCTTAAAGGATAAAAATAAGCTCCAGACTTTTAAAGGAGGATGGGTTTTTTTTGGTTTTGAAGAGGTGTGGATCGTTTTTTTGCTGTTTCCTTCCTGCATCCCCATCAGTCTCTCCAGCTGGTTCTGCATCCTGCAATCAAATTCCTGGTCCTAATTGAAGAGCCGGGGAAAAGCACGGTGATGGGCAGCACACAGCGAGCACGGCGGAGGTGGGACACGGGCCGCTGGGCTCCCCTGGGCACGGGGATGTGAATCGGGCCGTATCCTGGGGCCGGTCCATGAGCTGGCGGAGTCCCAGCCCAGCTGATGTCCAGCTGGCCGCAGAAATGAAGACGGGCACGCTGAGCTGTAGGTACAAGGGTTAAACCACAGCTTGTTCCACTCAAGAGGAGCATCCTGCCACTCTGAAAGCTGTTTCGCCAACAGCACAGAAACGTGCCATCAGCCAGGAGAGGGTGGCCCAGGGACCCTCAGCTCTGACCCTCTTCCACCTGGCAGCGGATGTGGTCACCCCTCGGTGAGAGCTGGCGTGGACCTTGCGGCACTATCTCCAACCCCCAACAACGGCAGCAGCTTCGCTCAACCTACGGATTAGGCGAGGAAGCCACGGTTCCTGCATCCCACAGAGGCCACTGCCCTTCGCTCTCAGCAATTTCAGGGACGGCTCTTTCAGTGACCATGTCGGAGGGGACATGGGCTCTGCAGAAATTCCTCCATGCCCACAGCAAATTAAGTCTTACAAAATGCATCATCCCCAGCAAGTGCTGTCTTATTATATATTCAATTTGCAGCGCCAACGGCAGGGGAGGTTGTGTGTCACCTCGTCCTGTGCACGCTCTCTGAAGGCTTTACAAGCTTATGAGCATCATATATTTTATTTCAAAGTGACTGAGGAATAATCAATACTCTGCCTCCCTTCTCCTTCCCGGAGGTGCAAAGCGAAGTCAATCAAGGGCAAACAGCATCACAGCTTTCCTCCTGACCACATCAGAACCAAACCTCAGAACAAAAGGCAACGTGCAGCCACAGCTTCGTTACAAACAGCACGTTTAAACCAAGTGGTAAATAAGGTCAGGGAATGCAGACTTCTTACCAAATAGCTGGGGCTGTCCCACAGGCAAGGCTGGCATGGGCGTAATGCCAGTGCTGCTGCAAGTGCCTGGCACTGGGTGCTCAGGGCTACTGGGGGTGCTCAAGAAGCCGTCAAGGATGTGCCGTGATCTGCTTTGGTTCAAATCCCCTTTCCCCACCCGTCTTTTTCGTGGGAAATATCCATCTTGCTGCCCAGCTCCTGCTGACTTCAGGAGGTGTTGCTCAGCTCTGAGAAGATGCACCCGAGGGTGGCCCATGACACAGCCTGGCCACGGCCCGTGTCCCGAGGATACACAAACCCACCGACTGCGAGCCATGCGAAGGAGGATTTGACCCTCTCCAGACTCACTTGGGCAAGGGATGAGCCTCACAGGCCGTGGGTGTTGCTCAGGCCCTGGAGGTCCTTCTTTGGTTCCTTCCATTATCGTTTTCCATCGTTTCCTCCTGCAAATCGCACCCGAAACTGGGACTGGGTGAGTCCCTCCGAAATAAGAGGAATATGCATCGAAGTGGAGAAAGTGGGAGCTTGGAAATCCTGCTCAGCAAACAGCGTGTGTGGCGGGAGGAGCAGGGCTGGCTCTGACGCTGGAAACCGGACCTGGCCAGCGGGGAGGTGCCAGGACAGGGACCTCAGAGGTTGGTCCCCAGGAGATTCTGCTGTCCCCGTGCAGGTGGGCGCTGTCCCTGTGCCGTGAAGGGGCAGCGGGACGATGCTGAGAGCTCGGTGACCCGCTCCGGCACCGCATCACCGTGGCCATCCCTGCTGAGCTGAGTTTGTGCGTGAAGGAAGAAGCTGGTGGGTGCAGGGAGGAGCTGGGGGACGCTGGAGGGTGCTGGCTGTCTCCAGCTTGGCCACAGCCCTCCTGCGAGGGGGGGGGTCAGATCAGGGGTTCAGGGCCCCGTGGTGTGAAGCCTCAGGGGTTGGATCCCGCGCAGGGGCTGGTGCTGTGGGTGACCCTCCCCGCTGGGGCCACCGGGGTTAGTGACGGTCCCACCCCAGGGGCAGGAGATGCAGTTTTCCTGCCACCGGAGAGGCAGCAAGAAGAGGAGAATCCCTTTCTCTCCAAAAGTAAAAGCCTCCACACCGTTTCTTGCAGGGACGAGGGGCTGGACGGGGTGCCAGCACCCCGACACCGCTGTTGTGGATCAGAGGAGGCAGACACGGGCACACAGGGCTCTGGCCTGGGGGACTGCGGGTGCTGGGTGCACCCAGTTTTGGGGTTCAGCGCCTGGGGGTTGTCTCCCCTTCTGCCCCGAGCAGAAAAGGCGACGCTGAACAAAGCAGGCGCTTACCCCTGGGACGATGCGGCCCGTGGGGTCTCACCCCCTGCCCCAACAGCCACCCATCCCCTCCCCTGGGGCTCTAACCGCGGGGTGGGAGGCACCCCAGGAACCCCCCGCTCAGCCCTGCCTGCCTGTGGGGT